AAGGGAATAAAAATATTTCTCAAAAGTTGTCCAGAAGTTGGCGAAAAATAGGTTTGCACTCCTTTACTTATGGGAGTCAAAGATTTCATCTCTTAACTCAACTGAATGCAGAGAGATACTAGCATAAACTCCCCAAGAGTCCATTTGGAGAACAAAGAAAAATAGCTCTAGGCCATTAGCACGGTACTACTTAAAGTTGTCTGGCCACCTGTATGAAATCATAGGTCTATGACGTTTCATCCTATCTCAGGACATTTAAGACAACAATTGCTAACATCCGTCTGACAGAGTTCTAGCCCACTACGTAGGTTTCAAGATTAACTGAGGTAAAATCGTAGTGAGAATTCCGTTTGGATGAAATAAAGAGGAATAACGACGATACGTGATGCCCAAATCATAACAGGCCTCACAAGCCTCGACAGAGAAAAAGAAAAGCTTACTTATGAGTTTTGCAGCACCTCTAAGATCGCAACTATTTTAGGCCTAATAAACTTTAAATTCACCGGTAAAAAAAACTTGCTTATCCAAAACTCATTAAGAATCAATAGCAGTTTAGCTTGCCATAAATTTCCACAGCACTCCGATGGACATTGGGGCCAAGGCGAACCTCCGTCCGACTTGTCCTATTAAGCCATAACTGAATCGATTTCGGGGGTTTCCTTTCTAACGTGCTATTGCCCATCAAATCCATTCCCATGACGTGCTTCACGTCCGCCTCACCCAAAGCAAAGTAGTTGGGTATCCAAATGGTAATTCGCAGTTGCGGACCACCTCCAAGCCCACCGGGACTTTCAGTTGAGTTTGAGTCGACAGTAGATGGGAAGCGAATCACATTCATTACTTGTACGCCTCCCTCTCCCTCGGCAGCACCGTCAATCACTTTGGTAGCCATTGCAACTGTCACGATGCAAGAGATCGCCACAATGTTGAGTACAGTGAAGCGAATTCTTTGGAAGGAGGATAAATAATTAAGTACGAAACAGTGTCATTGCCGGAATTCTATTTTGAGACCT